CACTGCCGCCATTTTCCCCCATTGCCGCCATTTTCCCTCATGGCCGCCATTTTCCCTCACTGCCGCCATTTTCCCCCACCGCCATTTTCCCCCCAATTGCCGCCATTTTCCCCCCAAATGCTCACCGAGATGGGGAAGTAATCCCGGAAGTGTTTCCAGACGGGCCATGCGCGCACCCAGGCGCACGGGCGCCCCCCGCGGCGGGGCGTGTCACGGTCGGCCAGCAGCCACAGCCCATAGAGCAGCGCCGGCAGCCAGAGCGGGCCCCGCAGAGCCAGCACGAACAGCAGCGTGCACAGCTGGCCTGGGGACGGCCATTAATCAAATGAGGGGTTAATTAACTTAATTGTGGGGTTAGTTAATGGAATTATGGGGGTTTACCCGAAAATTATGGGGGTTAATTAACCAAATTATGGGGTTATTAATGAAATTATGGGGTTAATTAACTTAATTATGGGGTTAGTTAATGGAATTATGGGGGTTTACCCGAAAATTATGGGGGTTTATAGCAAGATTATGGGGGTTAATTAACCAAATTATGGGGTGTTTTACCTAAATGATGGGGTTAATTAACCAAATTATGAGGGTTTATAAAAAAATTATGGGGATTAATCCCCCAAATTATGGGGTTATTAATGAAATTATGGGGTTGATTAACCGAATTACGGGGGTATATAAAAAAAATTATGGGGATTAATCCCCCAAATTATGGGGTTATTAATGAAATTAGGGGGTTAATTAACTTAATTATGGGGTTAGTTAATGGGTTTATTAACCAAATTATGGCGTTTATTAACCAAATTCTGGGATTATTAACCAAATTATGGAGGTTTATCACCAAATTCTGAAAGTTTATCCAAAAATTCTATGGGGTTTTATTCCCCAAATTCTGGGATTTTATTCCCCAAATTCTGGGATTTTTATCCCCAAATTCTGGGATTTTATTCCTCAAATTTTGGGATTTTATCCCTCAAATTCTGGGATTTTATTCCCCAAATTCTGGGATTTTATCCCCCAAATTCTGGGATTTTATTCGCAAACTCTGGGATTTTATCCCCCAAATTCTGGGATTTTATTCCCCAAATTCCGGGATTTTATTCCCCAAATTCTGCGATTTTATTCCCCAAATTCTGGGATTTTTATCCCCAAATTCTGGGATTTTTATCCCTCAAATTTGGGGATTTTATCCCTCAAATTCTGCGATTTTATTCCCCAAATTCTGGGATTTTTTCCCTCAAATTCTGGGATTTTATTCCCCAAATTCTGGGGGTTTTTCCCCCCTAATTTTTTTTGTGTTCCCCCCCCAATTTTTTGGAGCCCCCTGTAATTTTGCTGTGACCCCCAAACACCCAAAA